TGTGTTGATTATTAACTATAACTGCTCTGAATAGCGTGCTGACATCCCGAGGGAAGAACGAGAAGGGGGGTGATGTGTGGTGTGCGGCAAACAGCGTGGAGCAGTCAACCGCTATCAAGTTCAGACTTCTGCCGGATCAATTAGTTGACAAGCGTATTGACGAGCGGAAGGGGGGGGGACAGGGAAGCTAAAGGGGGATGATGCACAAGTTCATATGCCTCAATTAGCCCGATTAAATCCGAGTAGAGGCGGACTGAGCCATGAGTTGTGACCACAAAGACTACTTACGTGCGGGCTGTTGACGGTCTGAGTGAAAACTGTCGGGCGGGCTAGCACAGACGGGACTTCAAATAAATAGCCTGGCCTGATTCGGTTTACTACTTCATACTTATGGGAGTTAAACCTCTGTATATTAACCCCCTACATTCAAAAAAGACATGCACAAATTTGTTTAATTGTGGTTTTTATTATTCAAGTTCCTCTTCTTTGTTGAGTTACCTTTTGTTCATTTATAAATATCACCCAATTTCGTTGCTCTATACAAAGACCTAGAAGAATATACTTGACGGAAATTTACTCTTGTTTTTGCACATGATGGGCTGGCTGTTTCCGGTGGAGGTCTAATTCTTAAAACCCCAGTTACCACCATTCCAGTTTTATACGATTCTGGATTTAGCAGTGGCTGAGGGGGCTAACATAATCTCCCGTTGCCGAAGGTGAGTCTGGAAACGTCCCCACCCTCGTAGTACAGGTAGCATTTCGTCAAACTCCCCAATGGGTAACTAGTCCCGAGTCCGAACTCAGCCACTAAGCCTGATTCAATTATAAATGAGGATGATTTATATGTCCGCCTACACAGGACACAGGAAGAAGAACCGCTAATAATGCATGTGGCTTTGCGCTATTTCCCGGGGAAATTTGGTTTATGATTAAGGTGAGGGTTATGTTTCATCAATATTATTTCATCAATAGAGGGTAGGGAACGGATCCGTGTAAACCCCTTAAGTTTGGAGTTGTGATCCGAGTTGGGGTTAGGGTTAAGGTCTGGCTTGGCTTGGTGTTAGCTGTGGGGTTTAGGTTTAGAGTAGGACTAAGGTTAAGATGAATATTATGGTTCAGTTTTACATTACATTTAAGACACAAAAATGTTAATCTTTACTACAATGTATCGTTAGGCCACATATCTTAAATGGGCAGGGCATTCCACTTCCCGTGACTCATCTAGGCCGCCATACAAGTTACTCGTCGATGAACGCTCACCGACCGCTAACGGAACTCACTTCTCCTGCTCCGCCTTGGGTCCCACTTCTCGGGCGCTGACAGCAGTCATATCAGCTAGTAGTATAAGCAGATAATATTGCCGGCAAAGTCAAGGAAGATTTCCGACAAGACAGCGAGCTCGTGGCTCAATGGTTAGAGCGTTAGACTTTGATCAAAAAAGGTCGAGAGTTTGAACCTCGGGTGGTGCACCACTTGGGATTGCGTATGACTGATTTATGGCGGCTCATGAACCAGAAATGGCCATTACAGTCTTCCCTGTCTTTGCTGGCGATACTGCCTGCCTACACAAGTCACTGTTATCTAACTATTACGCGTGACCCTATCCCTCACCCTACCTGTAACCTAAACACCTTAACCTTTTCACGAATCTTAATCTTCTCGTCATTTTTATCGCTGATAATAGACTCCAGCAAGAGTTCGAAAGCTCGAACGAAATAAACCATAATTCCGGCGCTCGGCAAGCCCTCTTCTTCTTTACTTATACACATGCATACAGCTGAAAAGCGAACATTCGTCTCACTTCTCTAGCCCTAGCCTTCATTTTCGTCGAAGTTAGCGCAGCACCCTTCCGAGGCAGGGCGGCGACATACAACCGATGCCTTCTAAACTTTCTATTAACACAGAAGACGTGTCCAGGTTTTACCACTATTCGACATCCACGGAAAGATGGAAGTAAATTATCTTCAAGTGTTCTATCTTTAGGTTTTTTTGGGTAAAGGTGCATAGCCCGTTGAAGGGTTACGCTTTCTTTTATCGGGAGTGCCAAAGCACCCAATAATACACAATTATAAAAGTTTCCCCTTTTTAATTTCCTTAGATATTAATTTTTGAACTCGGTGCAGATGTACGAAACACATGTGTGGACATTTACTTAGTACCCGTGCTTCCAGTATGATAAATAATACTATATGTTATGCCACCGTCTGTCTGTTGACAAGTGGTAAATATAACGCACTTATCCCGCAGTGTTTGATGGACTTCAGTCCAAATATTTACGTCAACTTTCGGTCTGCGCCTGTGGACCCGCTGGATTGTAGTCATGGTGCTTGCTGAAACTCCTGGTGGAGGTCGTCGAGAGCGATGGTCAAACTGTTGTCCGCCTGTTGAAGACTTGTAAATATTACGCGGTTATCCCGCAGTGGCTGATGGACTTCAGCCCAAATATTTACGCCCAATTTCTGTCTATGTCTACAAACCTTGAATATACTGATCTGCACCAAGTTCAAAAATGAGGTCCTACGGAAATAAAAAGCTAGAATTTTAAAGCTGGTGTATCAGCCAGAAAGCAAACAAGGAAAGCTGGGAGACCCACTGATGAAGAGGGCCCCTCGCAGCCGTGTCAAGCAGCGGCATGTCTGAGCTTTTAGCTTGTACCTATGCTGCCAGTATGGTAAATAATTACATAACTGAAAAGAGTTGGATGCTCCCTTTAAGTCTCGCAGTCCGCACGCCCCTGCGGTCGTTTTGCCTTTGTCATGCAATCGACGCAGGGTGGGTATAGAAAGTGGTAGCGCGGTCGATGCAGTGCAAGTCTGCCCCGCTTGCACGTCGCCCCTACAGCACTCCCTCGGTAAGGCACACGATGTACATCATCACTTGCGGTGATGTTTATTATAAATTAAGAAGAGCACTCCGATCTTACCACCTTTACTTCCGAAGTGGAGTTGCTTTGTTAGGGAAATAGCTTGGTTGAGTGGCCTAATGAAACAATTGTCAAAGCGACTGACTATAAGTTCAAACAAAAGAATATTCAAATAGATTTTCAGCAACTGGCGACCTATAACGCATACTCAAGATCATTCATACATGGTAGGTTGAATTCCTAATTCCCAAAAGTCTGAATAGAAGTTACAAAGGAACAGTAATGTCGTTCGATTGTTAGGAGTATTATTTTTTCAAGGTCCCATATAAGGGCATAGTTAGCGGATAGTTCTTGTGGACTAGACCATAATAGGTCAGAAACATACGAAACACTCCAGCCTTCTCCTGTGATAAGAAAATATTTTGCTAAGAGTTCACTATAAACCTCACCGCACCGTATTTTACTATAAATAACTAGCCGTTTAGCCGTTCAGGCTTCCAAATTCTATTTACTTCATTGCCCTCCACACAGGGAAATCCTCAGCGAGATGTGATGGATTTTCCGCTTATCGCAGTACAATATCTGTACAAATGCAATAGAAGCTATTGAGAGTTTTCAAAAAACGGCAAAAAGTCAATCTTTCAGGGTTCTACTTTAATCTCGAATATTCGATAAACAATTGATGTACGATTGTCAGTCAGTTGATTGTGCCCTAATCCTAACCCAAACCTTAACGCGTAACATAATCCTGACTCTAACCCAAACGCCAAAGCCTAACCTTCAA